AAATCTCTAGATATAAAAAATTATAAAATGATCTCTTAACTATAAGATGTTACTTTATTAAGTTTTTCGACTATTAAAAGTTATAAAATGATCATCTGATTATTTATTGTGTTTTAAACTCGTTCTTTTCCTTAAAAAATCAATGACTGTAACACGTCAATTTAAGAGCTAAAATTAAGAAATTATAAAGTGATGAATTTAATTGATATTTTTAGAAGAAATTGAGGATTAAATTATAAAATCGTAAAGTTGACAGACCAGCTTAAGAAGTACAAAAATTCAATGACTAAACTCATGATTTGATCATTTTTTCTTTTAGGATGAATTATAACACTCATTTCCCATGTATTAGCATAAACAAATGCTCAATTTTTCAGTTTCCCCCCTCATCAACCTTTCTTTCAACTCCGATCTACTCACTGTCCAATGTCCGATCGATGAACCGAAACCACCATCGTGTTCTTTATTGACCGAAGAACAAAACCCCTTAAACATTTCATTATGAATCGTCGTCGTTCGTCGTTCATTTCAGTCGTTAATTTCAGTCGGAAGTATTATCGGTTTTAACTCAATTTTCGTTGGTTTTTCGTCGATTCACGACGATCCGGTCAACCGTTTACGACACCTCTCTCACCATAGTGTTCCTTGCATCGTTCCGAGTCCACCGATGTTCTCCATTTCTCCTTCGTTGCCGGTGTGGAGGGGTGAGACTGTCAAAGTTTCCGACGGTATGGAATCGAGCTCTCCACCGTTCAAAATTGTGAACCGAGCTTTGTAAGTACCTTAAAATCGCTTAAAATAATTTTTAGGAATTGTTCCGGGAATTTATCGACACCGGGTTACTGTTCACGCGCCGCACCCCGAGAGTGGGCATCGTCTGGGTGATAATTTAGTAATTAATTTATGTTTGGGAGTTATTTGTGTAAAATTCAAGTGTTAGTTTAGTAAATAATTAGAGAATGTGGCTAATTTGGTAATTAATTTCTGTTAGGGTGATATTTGTGTAAAATGGTCGACTGTTGACCGGTGTTGACCACAGTTGACCAGAACTTTGACCGGCTTTGACCGGACATTAAACGACCTTTGAATTTGACCGAGTATATCTATCCTGACATTTTTCGACGTTCCGAATCCGCAGTCCATTTTTCGAAATTCGGACCCGAAGGCCTCGAAATTACCAGTCAAACCCGTTGACTTTGATTTTGACCAAAAATTCTAAATTTTCGAAAAGTCATATTTTATGCTTTCGACGTCCTAAATCCGAAGTCCGTTTCGCCAAATTTGAACCTGATAAGCTATTTTTCACTGATTTATCATCCAATTCGATCCGTTTTTTAGAATTAAGCTCCGTTTTTTATGTAATTTCTGTTGATATGATCCGAGGAAATATTGGAAGATGATTTCAAGATCGAGGGCGTTCGAATGGAATTTAATGGTCGATCAGTATGGCATGGAAATCGAGGTAATACTTTACTACCTCTTTATGCTTTATGAACATGTGAATATTGGTAAATGCATAATAAGATAATGTTGGTCTCATTTGGGTAGTTAATGAATTTCTACACTCGATTCGAATATAGTAGAAATTTGGCAACTGATTATGGTTTAGATGATTAATATAAGAAATTGATGGATTGTTAGAATTATATTATGAGTTCTGTGATTAGTGAGAAAGGAATTATCATGGATTTGTAGCTTATAATATATCATTAAAGGTTAAATGTTAAAGGTACTTGGATGAGAAATTATGAGAATACTCTGGTAGGGTAAAATTACAAAATACCCTTAAGTTGTAAGATGTCAAGAATTGTCCCTAAAAGTTGATTAATAACTCTGAAAGGATATATTGATATGATATAATTACAAATGTGCATAAGAAATAATAGTTTTGTTTATAAAATTTGGATAACTGGTTTTAACGGCAAAACAGGTTTGCGCAAGATGCTAAAAGTTTGTTAAGGAATAATTTCAAGATCAAAAAATGTTCAAAAAAGCAATTGACCATAAGATCTTTAATTTATAATTATTTTCGTTAAGAGCTAATATCGAAATTATCTGGTTAATAAATTACGAAAATGCCATTGAAAGGTAAAGTCCGAGTTGACCCTGAATAAGAAAGTATGTTGAGGATTCGTACTTAATTCGATTAACTATGGAGTTGATTGTTAAGATTCTGTCTTTGTACAGAAAAATTCATGATATTCCGTTTGTAAAATCTGAGAAGGTACTTGACCCGAAAATATCCGAGTTATGAGTAAATACCTGAAGAACAATTTATCGGGGGTGTTCTTTTGTCAGAATTGTTCAAATGGACTGAAATAAATGATAAGTTTGAATTCAATAATAAGATCGGACGGAAGAAAATGATTGTAATACATTGGATCTGTAAAATGACCAGAATACCCTGTAATGGAAATGACCCAAGAATATTACCAAGCAGGAATGATGGGATACCCTCAAGCTCTGTAATGTTTGGGATAAAACTAAACACCAAAATGACCAAAATACCCTTATGGCCTATATTAAGTAAATGTCTTGGATTAATTAAGGAATCTAAATAAGCATAGGTGTTGGACTACCTTTAAAAGTTATGGAACACAGCTTAAGTGAATCGATCAACCTTAATGATGTGTCAGTACCTGAACGGCATAAATATTACTTGAATGCGTGTTTGTCTACTCAAGTTTGGCTCGATGATAATTTTGGAAGTATTCAGCTCAACTCAACTCTAGATCGCATTCAGCACTAAGAATTGGATATTTGTTCGACAAATTAACCACGAAGACCTAATTGAACTGAACGGAAGTACAATATGTATCTGAAATTCAGAAACGTCTGAATTACTATAAAACCCTAAAGTAACTAGAATGAACTTGACTGCTAAATAAGCTAAATAACATCAATGACTGAGGATTAAATAAGTGAATTGGATAAGTCTGGAAATTCTTATGAGTTTATAAGATGTACTGTCCTTATGGAACATGAACTACAAATCAAGCACATCAGTACTTCATGGTATAGTGGAAGCTTGGAAATGAAATAAAGACCATTGGAAGATCTATTCAGCGATGATTCTGCTTATGATATATGGACAAGAATTTATGGTATTAAAGAGTAAATACCCTGGAAGGAGAATGAATTGACCAGTCGACATAGATTGTTAAGGTTCTGAATCTTTGTTCTCAAGTTGTTCGATTATCCGATCAATTGACACGGATGTAAAGGATTCTGAATACCCTTCTGATTTCGTACAACTTCTGAAAACTGTCCGAATAAGATATGATCCTGATAATTCACATTCTGAACAACTGATGATTCCGTTAGTTAATGAACTTTTCCAACAGTATTTCTAACTTCCGGTATTTTATCGGTATACTGAAAATCAGTGTTTTTCTGCCTACTAAGATTATTCAATACCTCTGAATAATATCTGTAAACTCTGGTGTGTTCCCTAATTATATAAATATTTTATCTGATTTCCGACTTGAATTCTGTTCTAATACATTACCTGAATCTGTTCTGATTTCTGATCTGGATTCTGTTCTGATATCTGATCTGAATTCTGTTTTGATCTCTGATATCTCCGTTTACCGACGAGAAATGTTTTATCTGGGTGGTTTATTGTTGGATGAAGATTATCTGTAGGCTTCTCGACTGTGTGAGTTGTGCGGGGTGTATGGTTCCGAGGAACCTACACAAACAGATTGTGAAAGGATGGGGGTGTATATATATATATGTTTTAAAATAAAAATCTGTATCCTTTTACTAGTTTTACGGGAACACACTAGAAAACATATTCTGGTCTCCTGAACCTAGACATCCGAAATATTTCCATCTGAACTAAACACTATCTGTTACTACCTGCGTTATCAATGGACCTCAACTCAACCTAAAAATTTGTAGATATCTGAACCAATAAGGAAATGTATGTTTATTTGTATCTGCACGTTCTTCAGCATCATCTGGTAGTTCTGTATTATTGAGCTTTCCGAAGCTCACTCTATTACTCAACATTTCAGGTTAAAAGAATTGTACCAGTGCAACTATCGTCATCATTAAGGGAGTTCTTCCGGTGCTGTTTGCAGAGTACGGTATATGTGATTAGAGGGCATGTAATTGCATTTTGTTTTATATGTGTCTGAAAATCTATTTTAATTATACATATCGATTAATGATTTTATGAGTTTACATGTTTTGATAAAAAAATTTAAATGTTCTGAAAATCTGTAATTGCATTTTTACAGTGAGTCGCTCCGATGGCCCTAATGTGACACTCCAGATCGGATCGGGTTACCCACATCGATTTGGGGGGCTATAATGACAATTTAAGCTAAACATTAACCTAATGACTAAAATTTGATAATTATTTGAGATTTTAAGTACCATCAATTTTTTTACGAAAAATGACGAGTTTAAACACAATGAATAATAGTGACTATTTTGTAACTTTTTTTATAATAACTATTTTGTAGTTTTTAAAAGTCGAGGGATTTAATAAAACAATGTCCTATAATCGATGGACCATTTTATAACTCTGAATAATTGAGGGGCTCAATAAAACAAAACCCTTCAGTCAGGGGACCATTTGTATACTTTACCCTAAATTATATGCATACACCATAATACAAAGCAAGCAAGCATGGCCCTTGGCCACTTACATTTCCGATTAAATATGATAACGGCTCTCCAGAATTCAAGAAAGTTATTCTCAATTCTCTTCGGTTGAATTTGCCACGGGGCTCACAACCTAATGAAAATCATCCTAGCTCAGCAAATAAGATTCTTTCCAGACTTTTTAAACAAACATTATTTCTCAACAACAGTTACACTAATATAACACAAACCATCCTCATTCTCCCACTATCTACATGTACATACAAACTCAAATTGTTTTGTTCCTTGGGAATGCAAAAAAGACAGGAAGAACCATCTGCATTATTAAAAGTGATTGTGATGGCTTACAATTGATTAAAAGGGGGCTCCTTGTACTTTTATTCAAACATGTTGTAAACTTTACTTGTGGCAAATCCCTAAAAGTTCGATCTACCTCCTCTTCTCCTTTATGATTTTGCACACTGCTGTCTGCATGATGAAAACCAAGGAAAAGAAAAGAAAAAAAGAGGGTGATCATTGATGTAATCCATATAACTCCTCAGTTCAGTCTTCTGAAGACTCACTTTTCAAAACCACAGATTCGCCCAGCACAGAGTATTTGTTTATTCAGGGACAAAAATCAAGCCAAATACAACGGTCATGTGTAATAGGAAAAAAAACCCCCCTGGAAATATGACAAGGAAATGGGTAACTTTAACGAGATATCCACTTCCACGCCAATAAATCTTGTGTCGCAATTAGTGACGTATCCATCACATTTGAAGGAGAGCAAAATCAATTAAATAACCATGATAGTAGTATCCAGGTCAAACTTCATTTGTCAAATGAAATTAAAAGAAAAGACCCAATATATGGTCTCCAGACTCCAATACCATAGGTAAACCTACAGGGTAATGTCATGAAACAGTCTTTCTCGGTAAACATGTTTGTAAGTTTGCCAAATATTGAAAGGTAAATATACTAGAGAGAAAAACATCTACTGAAGAGTGGTTTGCTACCTGCAAGCTTTTATAAGAGCTAAGAAGCTGGCTAGCTCTGTGCACACTCAAATGGTTGCAAGGATCCTTCAGAAAATTCATGCATCCGAAAATGTTCCAAAAGTTCAAAGGGCCTGGAAATAATACAAGGGAATCTGATTCAAGAAGCATGACCATAAGAATTAAGAAAATAACAAAATAGATGTTTTCCAAACATCAATTGACATTAAAAATAATGAACATGCCTAAACCGGAAGTTCTGAACTATACCAAAATTGAAGACAGACTTAACTCCACCTTCCTATGGCCTTTTCTTTTGAGAACAACTTTTTGATGGTGAGGCAGCTTTAGCAAATAAGTTATTGTGATGGCAATTTTCAAATTTCAAGAAACAATGTCGTTGATATGGGAAATTTGAAAGGCACGACAAAGGTCTCTATACAATCTATAACTTTGAGAAACATGCCAAGTAAAATAAGAGATGAAGCTCAACAAGCCAAGCACATCAATATCCTTTATCTGAAGGCCAGCTTTGAGAAGTTAGTTCATTGTGCCTAGCACTACCCAGTGAACCTCGGTTAAACTCTGATGATAGAAGTGTTAAATCCAAAGTGCTTTCTGAAAGTAGTTAATTGTACCCGATACAACCCAGTGACTCTCAGTTAAATTCTGATTCTAAGTCCTGTAAAATCCCAAGGCCTAAAACATTTTCAATAAACATAAGAGTTTGACCAATTTCAAACATCATGTTTTGAACAATTATAACATTGAATAATACCATGAGAGACACTTGTGGCACAGAACAGCCTAGAGTCCTAAGAAAATAAAACAGAGTAAATAAAATCATTGTTCAGATTCCCAGCCCTATGATAACTTAAGGGACTATATAGTTGTAAGTAATCGTTCAATATATGGAGCTAAATTTTTACCCAAAGGAAACCCAACTAATAAAAAAATAGTAGAAATCCTCAAATAAGGCCACCTATAGACTGAGAAAAAGACGGTTGACATTTACACAGCCAGGTGGTGCTACAGGGATAAAGGATGTGTATTCTGGGATAAGATATTTGAGGATGAAAATATTTGAAAAAAATAAAACTATACAATTTGTGTTTCCACTTGTGCATAATGAAACTTGCATGTCAATTAATAAATGATCAATCAGAACAAGCCACGAGAGAGAAACAGGGAAGGGAAGGAGAAAAAGGTGGCACATCCACAGCTATTTCATCAGATGCATGTTCCACTTAAAAAAACACAAGTATATCATCCATAACCCTTACAGAAAAGCTTCACGATTACAACATAATTTGCGTTGATTACTTTCCATAACCTCTAACACATTTGCAGCTTCAGGCCCTGCTGACCCACCGGCAACCAATGATGGGACAGCAGCAGTAGGAGTCCATAGCTACACAAAAAACCAACTAAAATAAGAAAAGTATCTTGAATACTGCATGTAACTGAACTCTTCCCATAAGCCTGATGCTCGCCTTTATAGTGTTGTCAATTCCACTGGTTGCCACAAAGCAATCAAATGGATGGCACTGAACACAGTTTACAACTGCAGAGGACATGAGATTTTTTTCAGTGAATAGGAAATCATAAGGTGAAGGCAAAGTCCAGCGTCTGCAGGACATCACACAGAGAGGAGAAATATTACCAGCATCATCTCCAAGAAGCATTTTTATCAATCTTCCAGTCTTCTTTTCCCAAATGAACCACCTTCCATCATCACTACCGCTAGCGACAAATTCACCTAAATGAATATCAGAATATGTCAAGATAAAAATTTCATTGCCAAAATTACATGCAGACCCAAATCAAGTTGAGCAACTGTTTTTCATGACCAGAACTGGTTCCACAAACAGTCGATGTTTAATGAAAAGAAATTAGTAACATCCACAACGAACAGGGACACATCATCACCAAGCACTTTTATATTGGGCAGCAGTTATTGCATATTGCCAAAGGGAATAGCAATTACAACACTAAAGCAATTGAGATTTGAGACGGTCCAACAAGCAACAAATTTTGTGGATTAAATAAACACAGAAGATCTCATCCAAATACAACATGCATAGGAATGTTTGGGTAACCAAATTCCATTGTCATGCAAGAACTGCACTAATCAACTGGATAATGTTATATCATTTTCAATTTTTATCATCGTGGATAAAAAATCGGTCACAACTCCTTTTTAATTCTCAAGAAAGTGTTAGAGCTCATATGCAGAATAAAAATGATATCCTCAAACAAAACAAGCAAACTAGACTTGGAATACAACAATGTGTATTAAAAAATGAAATACAAGGAGCTGAATTTTAAAAGAAAGAAAAAAAAAACAATTATATACTTATGAAAAGGCACAAATTCAACATCAAAAAGAAACTGCCATAAATCTCGTAAAACATGAGTGGGGGGGAGCGATATAATTCCAATGACAGATAAAAAAGAATATATAAGATGATATGAGAAAATTACCTCTCTGACCAAGGAAACTCGCTTGCTTGATGTCAGTTCCAACATTGCAGTGACCAACATATCTCTTCTTCATATCAATAACTGCCTCGGGCTAGAAACAATATGAATACATGACATGAAAATCATAAGCAAGAAGATTAATGAAGGGAGTAGCACAAGCAATATGATGAATCTATCATTGAGCATACACAAAACCAATCTTTTGAAGAATTTTATCCATCATTTCTTGGCATTTTGGTTTCTGATCAAGTTATTAATATGAATAAAAAGTTGAATCAAAACACAAGTAGTTTATCTGTCCAGGAAAGAACGACAAAAGGCTAGAACTTTACTAGAAACACATTTAGCCATGCCTGACAATTCATAATTGACTGGAGTCACTTTCAAGATGATTTCTTGACAATGACATACCAAAGTAGGAGACATCAGATTCTGATAATCTTAAACCATTTGCAATCTATACAAAAGATATAAATGTGAACCTGATAAGCCGCTCCATTTTGAGATGATGAGGATGGAGATCCACGCGAACCATATGCACCAGTTTCTTTTGTTGAATCACCTCTTCGATGAATTCTAAGATTTACACTTCCATGTAACATGTTAGATACTACATCATGCCCTTCATCACCTGATATTGAAGTCTCGAAATCGAATTCCAGCTCCTCATCAAAATCAGAGTCTTCTCTTTCAGGTCTTTGACCATCTTGTAAAGCATCACTGTTAGCTTCTGAGCGGTAGAGTATGTCAGTCAATGACAATACCCTTCCAGTTCGAGGTTCAGGCCTAGGTGCGCCATTACTTGCCTTGTTACTTTTCTCAGCCTCGGCTATTTTTAAAAAAGAAAAAAGAAAAATGACACTAGATTTAGGAAAAAATAAAAGATTAGAAAAAGTTGATAGCAATCTAAGAGATATTCATTGTTCACATTCCTCACGAAAACCGAAAGGGATAAAAATTGAAAGTGTGTTTCACCCTTCTTAAAAGTTAGCATAGGAAAAAACCATAGGTTCCATGTTATCAACTTGATAGATATGAACATTATGCATGCTACAAGTACACTCAAAACTTGATTGTTCCCAAGCCTAACTGCAAACTAAAGCTGATCTATGAACAAAGAGAATGCTTAGGGAAAGGTCAAATGATGAATTGAGCAGAGAAGAAACATAAGGTGCTGAGGACATCACTTATGCATAGCATCTGCAAACCCAATGAACAGAACAGAGAAGAAAAGTTGGACTAGTAATAATGTTAACGCTAAATAATAAATAAATTCAGTCAATAATTTACACACCCAAAACAGTTTTTAGGTAAGAGTAGGATGAATAAACCCTTATAGAATTGTCCTACGGCGAATATAAGTAGGACAACCAACTTTGAAGACGACATATAAGGCAACTTCAATTGAGATGACGATATGATTGTATGAGACACCAACCTGCAGCAAGATGTTTTCTTATGTTCTCCACTTTCTCAGCTGCCATAGTATCATATGGAGATAAACATTGTGCTGGAACAGCAAAGTCTAATGCCTCTTTATGTTTTCCCAACTGGAAAAAGGTAGAAACCAAATGATTAATATTAAATATGTGAATGTTTCATCTAGAGAAAAAAAATCTACATAAATAACATTCAATTGAACATATGAAAACATAAATACCAAGCCATAACTGCTGCTTTACTTTATTAACCAATTTCTAAATATAAATTTGGATAATGAATAAATTATATTTCCTTAGTGAAAATTAAACTTTGATGCTTTTAAATATTTTATATAAAAGACTTCTAAGATTTTGTTTAAGCTAAATGATTTTGAAAGGGAAAAAGATGGTTGTGGGGAAAAACTCCAAAACGAGGAAACCATTAACAGAGGTCAAATTTAACAATTTAAACGTTCTTGGCAACCCAAACAAGTAGATAGATCAGCACCGTGTTTTGAACTCCACTGTAACTCATCCTGCAGATTACCTGTTCTAAAGCCTCAGCCATTAAATAATGAGCTCTAAAGGAAGAACTGTCTATTCTTCTAGCATTATTGCAATCTCTAATGGCCATATGGGCATCGTTTTTCCACTTCCGCTGCAAAAGGAAACAGTTTAAAATATTGCCATAATGGCATGTCAAATAGATGAATGGTCCATCAAAAATAACAAAATAATCATTGAACCTTAAGCAACAAGGCAGCACGTGTACAAAAACATTCAAGCCTTAGTGTGGGCCCAATATCACTTCCATGTCCATCCAAGACTTCATTGCATGCCTCAATTGCATGGAAAATATTTATCTCCTCATCTAAGAATCTTTTAGCAATTTCAACCAACATCCTGCATTTTTCAATCTGTAACCGCCATGTTAGAGTATAGCTGAAATACATAACGAAGAATATAACCTAGATAAAAATCTGCCAAAATTTCAAGACAGTTAACAGAACAGGAGAAAAAAATGACAATAGAAGTCGATAAAATATGCATACTCTAGCAGCAGTGTTGCTTCTACTCCGGAGACCATTTTTGAAGGCACTGGAAAGAGGTTGTTGGTGCTCTAGTTTATTTAGCACAGGAGTGAAGGTCATCAATTTTGAAGCATCTCCCGAGGTATATTGCATTAAACTCGCACTAGCTGTCAATTAAGGAAACAACTAACAGATGATCAGATAAAGAACATTCTAATAATCCGAAAATAATTATTATGCATCAAACTAACTGCAAAATAAAGCAAACTATAAAATAGAGAGCCAACTAAACTTAAGATTGTGACAAACTACCACACATATTCTGACCTGATGCTTAACCTTGATATTGCAATCTACAATGCACAACTTGAAAATGAAACTTAAATTAACAAGGGAAGAAGGTGAGGCAAGACACTTCGAGTCTGAGCTAAGTGGAACCTTATGATGCAGTTAGAAGTTTACATTATAGTTCTCTGAATTCAGAACGGGAAGTTAAACATGGAAAGAATCATGTCAGGCAACATGAACCTCCTTAAACACAATAAGAAAAAGAGAGCACAAACTAATTGAACAATCTGACTAGTGACTACAGTAGAACTACAGAATTTAGAATATGCTTACCATGATTTATGTCCATTAGATATACATGCTCCCCACTATAGCTAAGTAGAACCTCTTCTCCATTAGGACTGAATGTAACATGAGTTAAGTGCAAACTTGAGCGTCCCTGAAAAGTAAAGAAAACAAAGATTTAATTAATATTAATAGAACAATAATAGTTTTACTTAAAACCAGCAGTTCTTTGGTTCAAAGACATATAATGACACCTAGAAGAAAGACGATCGTGTCACTGATGGGAATGCCAATTAATAACAATTTTCAGTTCACAATCAACTGACACCTATTAACACTTTTAACTTTAAATATCCATGATGCACAAAATAAATAAGTAAAAGATTTCAATAAGAGAAAAGCGTTCAATAGTGGCCTAATGAAGACAAAAGGAAAATAAGTGCACTCATTTACCAATAATGAAGAAAAGGAAAACAAACAGAGAAATTTTATCATTTGCAAAATGAAATGTTACATCATTCCAGACAAGTTACTCATAAATCCACACAATACTAAATAGACTTGCTCCTGATGAGCAGAAATTGTGTAGTTCACCAAAATATTTTCAAGAAAGAAGTCAAGAAGAGTATGAACTAACAAAGAAATCCAAAACTAACACGGTCAGAAAGATGCATTGGGCAGAAATAATTAACGCAAGTAGGCGGTAACATTCTTTTCCGGCAGGAGGTCAATGGTGGCAGCATCCTTCTATCATATAGACGAGCAAATGCATCACTGCAAACATTCCAAGACAAGATTAGTGGGGGAAAGAAATGAGCAAAAGCTGATGAATTAGCTAAAAAAGGGATTGTGTGATTTTAGGATATGAGTTCTTGAGTCGTGTAGGTTTTTTGTATTGGGATTTCCTTCTCTGTTTGGTTGTAAAGTTTGGGTTCTTTAAAAACCCTGATTCTAATAAAACTTGAGGTACTCTTTTCCTCCTTCCACTGGTTGTTTTTCCCTCCCTATGGAGGGCTGACAATTATGGGGGGGGTTTAACGAGATCTCCTATTCTTATAAAAAAATCAGCTATATACCTCCCACCAACAAGTAGTAAATGAGGTCTAGTAGAACTGATATCACAGGATTTCAAGGCCAGAGTATGTCTAGGAGGATCAGCTAGTGATTTCTTTGCCCCACCACGCAAGTCAAGCTGCCAAAAAAGAGAAAGAAAGATTTAATTGATTTACAATCCTATAGGGATTTGGGTAAATAGATAGAAACACGGATCATGGATGTTCTATATTTGTTAAAGTGACTAGTTAAGGCTATTCTACAACGTCAAACTTCAGATACCAACAAAAGATAAAAAATGGAGAACAAAACTGAAAATTTTCAAGCTACACTGACAACCAAATGACCTTCAGGTGATAATCCATTAACATAAGAATCAAGGGACATCCTTCTGTTCACTGCTTAAAGTCCTCTCATGCTGTCTAATGTGATGTCAAACATACAATGATGAGCTATGTATTCGAGACCACATAAAACTAGTAATTTCTGACATTTAAAAAGGTGAATTTTTTGGTTGTAAGTTTTCAATACAAACTAGGGATGGCAAAATCCAAACCGAACCCCTCCAAATGGGGCTCTTTTTTTTTTTTTTTGAAAAGTGGATGTAGGGCAGGGTGGAACTATCCCATTATATGAAATTACCGTTTTACCTTTATACAAGTATAAATACCAGAAGGGTAAAATGAAAAAATGAGCTATGTAAAAGGTCCTAAATTCCTTTATGTTCTAGATTTTCTGTTTAGACAATGATGGGAAAAATTACTTTTTACGCTCTCTTTTTTTTTCTTTTTTTTTTTTTGAAGCCTTTAAAATAAGTTGAAAATATTAGAAGTAACTAGCAAAAATGAAGCAGATTTGGGGAAGGACGGGTTGGAGCAGGGATGGATGTTTTCAGGATTACACATCCATAGGGGAAGGGGCAAGTGGTGGAGTTCGCAATATCTGCCCCCGCCTACTCCATTCACATCCTAATACAAACAAGAAAAAATTGAATATCTATTAACCAAGTATCTTGGTTGGCAAAAAATCAGGAGGAAACCAAATAAAAGTTCATTGTTGATAGAATCCATAGAGAAGGACACCAAAGTAATATGAAAACAACAATTATAACCTAGTAAAGACAACAAATTGGAACTCCCTAACATGTAGGCCATGGATAGCATCATATTTACAATCATCATGCCACACTGTCAGGCAGCACTATAACAACAAAGGTTCTCATATAGGTATCTAGAACTTGAAAACAAATGAGAGGAAAATGTGAGTCTCACTAGAACACTACGACATTCTTGGTGAGAAGATCCAGCCGGAGGACAAGAAGTGCCCTCTCGAAAGTCATGCTGTCTAAGAGTTCCATCTTCACTTGCACTCCATACCATATTGGGGTTTCCAGCTTCAACCTAAATTGGGAAATAAGTACAGACAATGAAAACTGAAGCAACCAAAAGAACATTCATTTTCACCATATAACTTAACAATAAATGCTGACAATTTACCACTTCCCATGTCTGTTGGGCTGTTAAATTATTATTCCATTTTTCAGTCATTTATGCAATAAATCTTACCGCTAGTTTTTTAACTCTTCTTGTGTGACACCTATAAAGTGCTGATGGCGTAACAGCACCATCATTGAGCCCTCTCTCATTTAAGCGGGACAAAATAAATGATCGAACCTGCAAAAATATAAACCATCCAGGTTACTAATTGTAACTAATAGCAATGCAACAATACTCCACCACAGGAACCTTGTTTACCCATATAACAAAAGAATTACCTCCGCATCTCCAGCTCCAGAGACTACAAGATCATCAGAAGTTTGAGGAATGAATTTTGTACAGAATATATTAGCAGAATGTCCTGTCTCTATAGAATGCAAAAGCTTTCGACCAGAGTAGCTCCAAATATTAATCTGCAAGATATAGTTCATTAATAAATCTGACATATTCTCAGAAAATCAATCCCTCTACCACAATTCTTGACACCTTTTATCAACAGATGATAGGTGCCAAAAAAATTTCAAAACTAGAGGTGCATAAATCAACACTTCATTTCATCTTTCTCCTAATCAAAACCATATGCCATAATACAAAGCATAAAAACCCATAAACATGAATGCACAACACAATAATCCTTTCAGATACTGTACAAAGTACTTATATGCATTATTAAACATGAATGCAGAACCCAATAATCCTTATTCAGAAGGATTACTAGAAGACTCTAGACTTCACAACCACTTTACAAACTGAAATGTAACAAGGAAAACTTCAAAAACAATCAATACCAAAGAAGCACAAAGCACTGATAGCACAGTTCAGCTAGAGTTTCCATTATTACATTTTTTTCCACTTTCATGCTACCTTATCACAATCATAGAAAAAGCATAGACGTATCGTACCTGTTCATCATCAGAACCAGAAATCAGAAGTGAACCGTCTGAATTCCAAGCCACAGCATTTACACAACCCTGATGTCCCTGCTCAAACAAAGAACATAGTAAGATGCCACTAGTAATGGTCTGTGGTGCATCCTGAGAAAAGTGTATATAAGAAAATGCTTCAAAGAGCATGGAAGCGAAAGATGCATGTCAATTATAAGGCAGCTTTCCAAATGCAAATATCAGATAAGCAAAAACAAAACAACCTCCAATTCTTGTTCCATTGAGAGCCTACGAATTAGAGAAGAATGCATCTGCAAACTATGACCAACATCCTACATAAACACAAAAACGGAATCCCTTAGATACACAGTCACCATTGTAAGTCAACAAAAGGAAAGCACTTAATCATACCTAAATTTGATCAAATTTTCTTTTGCACCAAAAACAGTATATATATAACAAGAAATTAATGAGATTAAACGTTGTCATTTGTCAGAGTTAAATTATCAGCATGAATAGGGGGAAATGAAAATAACAACAAAGGCGAAGAAAGAGAGAGAAAATACGTGACCAATGTCGATGTGCCTGTTCTCGAGTAGATTGTGCACGTTGCCGTCATGGAACGGCCACACCTCCATCGTGTTTTTTGAAGAAAAAAATGAAAACTGGAAAGAAATTCAGAAACCCTAGCTTCGATCGGCAGCGAAGCTGGTAATCGGCGATGATCAAAATCGGTTCCAAATGCGGAAAACAATTCCCGTCATATATTTAGAAGCTGAGGCTGGTTTCTCGTTGGTTTTAATTACGAAAACGCTATGGTACATGAGACATCAAAGCAAACAAATGATCAACTGCGTTGCTTCCTTTGTGTGCTATGTACTGAAATGATCCTCAAATTTTCGGAGGAAAAAAGAAGAAATTAATCAAAATGAGAACCGTATTGCGTTGTTTAGAGAAAGGATGAGTCGGTAAATGGGCAAAGTAGCCCAGTAAGGGAGGTCCAATCTATAGAAAGCCCATGTAAACTCCCGCCATGATTGTCGGGTTTTAACCTCTTTTTCAGAATGAAGACTGTTTTGATTTTTTTTTATTAAACTAAGGGGTGTTTGGATCAAGGAAGACGGGATTCTCATGGGAATGGAATCTACATTTCCGTGTTTGGATCAAGGAATGTGGGATTCTAATAGGAATGGAATCCACATTCCATGTTTGGTTGGCCGGAAATATTATTTACGGTAATGTTTTATTAGCAATAATAGATTTTTTTGGGTATATTACCGGGAATGTCATTACCTCTCTTTCCTTCAGTATTGTTGTATTACCGGCATTTTGGACTAAAATGCCCTTAAATTTTTTTTCTTTAAAAAATATCATTCTTCTGTCATTGAATAATAAAAATTCTACGAATGTTAAATTACAAATTTATCCTTAAACTATTTTAGATTTACAAAAAAAAATCTATAATTAAAATTTTATATGAAGTTTAGGGGTTAAAATAAAATTTTACCCTTTCATTAAACCTTTTTATATTTTAAATTTTTTTAAAAAATATATATAAATTTTATGAATTTAATTTTTTAAAAGAAAATATATAAGTATTTTTCAAATTGTTAAAAAAATAAATATATAATGAGGAAATTTGATCAATTATATTCTAATAATATTATATTCCTTTAACCAAACATGATAATCCAAACACAAAATACAACATTCTTAATAATCATATTCTCTGGTAATCTTACATTCTCATTGATAATCTTACATTTTCAATTGTAATCTTACGTTCCGTGAACCAAACATATATAAAAGATATAAATTAATCATCCAATTGATCAAAGCATGATTCAAAGGTTTTGGCTCCTATTTAGGTGATTTGACGTGATCTGAACGAGGGACCCTATTTAGGTGAAACTCCAGTCTCACGCACGCACCTCTTTTTGAATACTTCTTTTAATTTGATAATAGCATACCAAAATTAATGTTTCACCACCTTCCCAAATAATAATAAATTACCGTTTCTTTCTCAACTTCGACTAATTTAGAGGTGGAAAAGGTTTAAAACTGTGTTCCAAATCTTACATTAATAATTTTAATTTTTTAAACTGTAAACATTATTAAAACTGATGACTAAAATGAAAGGCTATACAAAGATACTAATAAAAACTTTTAAGAATTTTAGCATAGAAAATAAATAGGCTGAAGTCATAAATAATTAACGATCATTATTCGAAACACCACAACTTTGATGATTTACTACAATCAGTCTATTTCCCTCGTTAATGTTGGAAGCGTTATTTTACCCAACCTTTTCCTACATGAGTGCCCAGTTTTCATGTGGAGGTAAGGAAAGGACGTAACTGGAAAGAGTGCTTGCCAGCAGATGCAGCTTTGGTGGTCCCATCACCGAAAACCATTACTTTGCACCATTTCAAGTAATGAGGGGGCAAAAGATATCGCTGTCTCATACATAAATGCATGCACGAGGGGTAAAAATACTTAGGCAAAAAGACAAAAATACTACTCTAAAGAAAACATAAAATTACATCAACACCCATGGATGCTCACATCATAACATAATTCAACGCACTACAAGATCACGAGTTTAACAAGACCCCATGATGGCAAAAGAAGGAATGCATTTGCATTTGATGAAAATGGGAGAAGACTCTTTGCTCGTGCAATTTTCAGCATCAAGGAATAAGGAACCCACAAGCATGAAACTTGACAGAATACAAAAAGGAAGAAGAAACTGACCCAAAACACCTAATCAGCATGCGCTTAGAACCTCCCCCCGCCCCCATAGAATAATCAATCCTCCCTTTCACACATCGAAGCAGGGAGTTTTACTTTCTCTAAACCCCAAGATGTTGACTAATGCTTTACCTTACTTTATTGGCCCATAATACACACAGCAGTATTCCTGATTTCTTTAGCAAATAGGCTTAGACTTCAAGCCAATTCTACTGGTTTCCCAACTTAACTGGTTGTCTGCACTTATTTCATACAGCTCCATTAACAATGGCAGAAGCTACCACTGATACTACTTTTATGAACAGTTGCAGTTCATAGAGTACCAGGTCTCAAGGTTTTGGCTTTGTGTTTCAAGGATTTCAAGTAGTCAATAGCTTCATCAAGAACCACAACTGTATCTTTTCCCTCTCCACCTGGAATTATGCTTCGCAAAACCCTCACTGTATCACGGATTTTATCCTTTCTCATCCTCTTGTTGCCTAAAGAAGAATCGGTGTCTACTGATCTAGGACTTTGGCCATTGGCGCAGCTGGATTCTGCATCATCCTCGTATTCTGAAATTTTGTTAGGGTTCCCTGAATTAGCAGTGTCCATAAGCAACGGTGAATAACTGTTACTTCCATTACGCAGCTTTCGTTTCTTAGTTAGCCTTGTAGAGTTAGCAACCTCTTCACATCTTCCCTCACATTGCTCATCCTGAGCAGAAGTCATTGTACAAGGAGAATGACCCGTGCTCGTAACTTCATCATCCTCAGTAAACTCACCATCATCATCTGAGTAAAGCAGTGCATTGAGTTCTTCAGTGTTCTCGTGCATTTCACTTTGCACATCAGTCCCATTTTCATCAAATATATCTGTAGATATTGGTCCAAAATGAATATTCCCATTTACTTTAGCTATGGGATCTTCCCCGTTTAAGTTACCAGCAACAGGAGATTTTTGGCCCCAAGAAGTAAGGCACTTGGTAGGAGTCCCAAATGAAGAACTAAAAATCAGGGTAGTTTGATCGGCAGACTGATCGAAAACAAGAAATCTCTTCTCTGCAACCCCATGCCCTGCTTTGAGGATACCAGTACCACTTTCTTTGCAATTGTCATATGCATTAGCTAGGGGTTGCTCTTTCACAAAAGAGTTTAAAGCAGGCTCAAGGACCTGTTGAAAGTGGGGTAAACAGTAAAACCAGCCACGAGGTTCATAACCTTGGCTAACCCGCGAGAAAGGTGATTCCGGATTCACATAAACAGGCAAAGTCCCAGCAGAGGACACCATATTGGTACCAAAGTTTATGAATGGAGGATTAGTACTTTGCAGCCCAAAAGGAAGTGGAGCAGGCAAAGAGTTCGAGATGGGTGATTGCCAATCAAATCGCGGCTGAGGAAACCCAGATCTACAGCCTTCTCCCATTGAACAAGAACAATCACCTACAGAATAACACAAGAGTGAACCTGAAAAGGATTATTCCAAAGACTAACATGTATTCGATAAAACCAAAAAGTAGAAATAGCACTACATACCAGAAACCGAGTGCTGTAGCAGTGGAAATGGCAGTTTACAAGCAATTTCTTTCAAAACCAAAGTGGAAAATAGAACTAAAAATTCCAGCTTAACTTGAACGCGAAAACGTAAAAAGCAGCCTACGTAACTGGCTTAAGCAAATGACGGAAATATTCAGCCTGAAAAAAAAAGCAAGAAAGGAAATTCAATAAAGACTTGGCATAAATTTTCTCACCAATCATCAATAACACAATATAATGAAAGAACAAGAAATATCATATGTTAAAGAAAACAAATATGAACCAATGAAATGTAAACATCACAAAACAAAAGGGTACCTAATTCTTTCATAAATCCTTGGAAAAAAAACAAGGGAGAAATAACAAACCTGGCAATCTTGAAGAGGTTGAAAGCATGCTATGACTCTAACTACAATGGTGGCACTCCCTGCAATACCATTTTCATACTTCAATGCCCGGAATCTTGTTTGACTTGCTGCTTGGCACACCATAACTACGTCCTAACCTTTCGATGTGGCACCAAAAAAGAGGGTCTTCCGGGTACGGAAACGTATTCAAAACCCCAAGATCCGTTTCTAGATCAACAAAAACTGAACAACAACCACTACTGCTACAACTAATGATAATTCTTGGATTAGAAATTTGAGCGAAGTGTTTAAAGATTTTCAGCTAATCTGGCGGACATAACAAGGAGCGACGATGAAAAAAGTGGAACCCATGGAGGATAGAATACTAATACTAACTAAATTTCAAAAGGTGGATCTTGAAGATGATGTATTATGGAATTACAAAATCACTCTACGATACAAGTTCAAGGAGATGACTTTTCGAAACACGTCAACTGAAAGACTCAACCACCAACGCATGTTGTTTATTCTTCGCCGCAAATAGCCACTGTTTACTTCCTCTCCCAGGAAAACAAACTATAACCCTGCGAAGAGGGATTAACACTAAAGATAACTAAAACAACAAAGCTACAAGACACAGTAAATCAATGTGGAAACGAAAATGATCAAAGAAGCTGACAACTTACAGGAAAGAAGAAAGGATAAGAAACCCAAAAACTCTCGATCAAAAGAATCACGAAAGAAAGAGAAAGGGATATTTTTGAAGTCTGAAATGTTTTCTTCTTCTTCCAGGAACAGAGATAATTGGGGGTTACAGTCAAAGAGCCGAAGATTTATGGAATGCACGAATCCTAGCATACACCAGTAGATTAAATAGGGGAAATAAATTGACGAAAATGTCCTTAGTACACCAAAAAAATTAATTAATTAGTTAATTAAAAAAACGTAATTAAAGTTTTGACAATAACTGGTGAAGAAATGATGAACGCACGGTTTGGTCCGTTTGGTCGGTGTTTGGTATTCGGGCCCCTCCTCGGGTGGCCTTACCATACCGGTTCCGGTTTCGGATCCAATTTATAATGAGGAAATGCAAAAATATCAACACAATATTATTCCATGGGATTCATATAATTCTACCATACATTTTTTATTTAGATTCCACTGAAATTTTAATACACATTTTTTTAAAATAATTTTTAATTCACAATCATCAAATTCTAATATTCAGATAACGATATAATACTGAATTTTATTAAATTGTCTTATGTTTTAAAAATAAAATATACATAGATTTAATTAAATCGTTCAATTTTTTATTTAATAATACTTTTTATTTCTCATTTTATTCCTTCAATAATAATTTTTAATCATTATTTTTATTCTTACAATAGTATTAATTTTATATTAAATCCAAATAAATATTCATAATTAATTACTTATTCTGACATAATTTTACTATAAACATGTATTTATCATTAGCTTTATATCACCCACCTAATAATATGATATATTGAACTCATCAAGTGGCCTCACAGATTGAAGAGAATGTTTTTTCTTAGAGGTTTTGAGTTCAAGTATATGATTCTACGGTATATATGTTGTAAATAGTTAAAGTTTTTAAACAGTTTGTAAATACTATAGACTATTAAAAAATATTTTAATAATACATGATATATTGTTTTTAATCAAACCAAAACTAATATTGAAACCTTAATGATGATAATTTATTAGTGAAACTCATTGAAGATCCTACCAATTAGCATCACAAATTTACAACCACTCTACATTTAGGGGTACGGCTTTATCTTCTTCCCTGAAGAGAGCTCTCCTTATTTTTCAGCCAGTGCTCCCAATGCCATTATGGCTCATTACCCATCATGCTTGGGGTTTTTACCATCATCATGAATGGATCTACATTTAAATTGATTAGGATGAACTATCACAAATCCTTTAGTTGTATTTCATTCATCATTATTAATACGATGAACATCATTTGGTTCTATTTTATTCATCAATAGTAACCTCATTATGTTTGGGTTTTGCTTCACTATTATACGGGATTCTTCGTCTAAATCAATTAAAATAAACTATTATGATCATTCTCACCTGTCGCAGCTTTTTCTCATTTCACTAATTAAATATTTTCCCACTTTAATAGTTTGGGATTTATTTCCCAAACATCATCAAATGGATATTAGCTTAACCTCATCATTACTGTCATAATATTAAAACTTTTACCACTTCATTTTTGAAATAAAATAGTATCAAATAATGCCTGTCATGATGGTGGTGGTTGTGGATCGACCACTTAACCGAATTTCTCTCCCATAATTTGTGATACAAAATAATGTATATATGGCACATTAGCTTACCCACGAAGTAAAAATAAATGTAGGGTGTAACGCACATCACATGAGTCTCACTATATATATATATATGCGTCTGTATTGACTTGCAAGTGGACCATCCATTTTACATGGATGTTTCGAGTTGACGAAGGTGATTCCATCTCGTAAAACCTACTTACAACGCTAGCTAGACAATACCAAATTTTTTATTACTCAATGTTTGAACAACTCAAACTTGAAAAAATATTTTATGAAAAATAATAGTAATAGTTTTTTAATAAATATATCATACGTATTACTAGTAGAAGTTTTACGGTTTATAAATATTATAATTCTAAAATTTATCACTACCTAAGTCAACAATGTTATTTCTAAAACAATAGGACGAATAAATAAATATATAAAAACAATAAATAAATTTAAACAAGTGTCCATGCTTTATGGCACTAAAACTTGTTTAAGGGACCAATCGGTTTTAAATATGGGTGGTGGGGATTGGGAGACCATGGAGCCATTTGGTTATGGATTCTCCAACAAACACACCACGCTTAGAAAAAGTTAAAAGCAATCCCCCATGCCTTGCAATCAACAACTTTTGTTTTTTTAGTAATGGTAACCTAAATGTCACACTTAAATATAGGTATGAATATAATGACAAATAAATGTTACAATATAATATATATACTGTGTAAAATTTATTTTACATAGTCTGTCTGTATATTTTAACATCATTTATTTTATTAAGGATTTTAAATTTAGAGTTTAGATGTTATAATTTTAAATTTTAAAATTTAGAATTAAAATAAATAAATTAGATTATAATTTATAATTTAATGTATGAAAATAAAACATCACTGAGAAATGTCTGGATAATACAATGTTTTAACAAAGTTTAAGCTAATAAAACTATAGGATTTCTTTGAAGGTTCTTTTTTAGGAATGGATCCAAGTTTACATAATCCATCTCAAGTTTTCTATTGGAATAAATGGAGGTCTTGTGGATTTCGTATATATTCATTTTTATTATAACTGTTTTGTTGATTGTTGAATCTAGTTGGGCAGCATGGTGTGTTGGATTTCCACCCAACGTGTAAAAGACAGGGGCTTACACATATTTGTTTTGCGGGCGATCTCCTAGTGTTTACTAAGGGGAATATTGAGGTTATATTAGTTGTGAAGAAGATTATGGAAGTTTTGTTTATAAGATGTCGGGTTTATAGATGAATGCCTCGAGAGAGAGAGAGAGAGAGAGCTCTATTGTGCTGGAGTTGGGTTTTCTGAGATGTAAAATATGATTGTTCATAGTGGGTTTCGCATAGGCATTATCCCGATGAGATATTTGGGAGTCATTCTTCCCTCTAGGAGCCTTTCTTACTTGGGCTGTGAGGGATTGATTGATAAAATTGTTAGGAAAATTTGGAGCTAACCTTCTAAATGCCCATCATTTGCTAGAAGATTGCAACTCATTCAAGCGGTTATCTCTAGTGTTAAAAATTTTTGGAGTAGGATTTTTCTATTGAAAATTTTTGAAGTAAATTGAAAGTTTGTGTAATGTTTTTCTTTGGAAGGGTTCAGATGATTCAACTATGGGTGCTCAGATTAGTTGAGAGAGGTTGTCTCATCCAAAATGTGAAGGGGTCTAGGGATAAAGAATATTTTAGTTTGGAATAGAGTTTGTATGATGAAATGGTTGTGGCTTTGATAACTCCGTAAAAAGGCTATATTCAGGGCATTTTTACATAAGTTATTGATTGTCTTATGGCACATGTTGGACCATATAGACGCATTTAGGATCATGTAGTTGCATGTGGTGGATTTAATTTGTTGTGATAAATTGGGTGTTGCTTTACGGGGAAGGTTGTGTATGGTTGATAATGTGCAGGTTATAAAGCAAAAGGGTGTGCGAGGAGAATTGTCGTGGCAAACTGAGATGCTGAAGCATAATGAAAATTTCGTGGTAGTTAGGATGGCATTTCTGGGTGTAGAGAAAGACAAAAAAGAGCTGAAGATAATTTTATAAAAGATCCAGTTGTTCAGCCATCACATGATTCCTACTGCCTACCACTTAGGAAGGGACCACTACCACCTTTGTACTCCCTTTTCACATGTAGGGATGTACCATAGGTACCATTGTCATTTTGACACAAAACCCTAGGTATATTCTCTTTATATATATAAATAAATTAAGACACCAAAAAAGAAGATCAACTTATTGAGAGAAAAGTGAGCTGAACAAAAGAATGGAGGCACCAGTAAAGCTTCCAACTTTCTTTCTTTTGCTCATCCTTTTCATGGTGGTCCTTAATTTTAAGCTTGAGGAAGTGGCGATCAAGGCGTACGAGAGAAGCTAGTGTCGCTAAGGTGGTTCGTGATGGCGAAAGAGCTCCGAAAGCACGCATTGGGAGTTTTTCCTCCACTCTTATGCTTTATTTTTATTCATATTTTATGAGTAGTAAGGAACGAATGATTTTCATGGATTATTCAAACTCCACCATGAACTAACTTTATTTGGTGGGGTTTATTATTGATGATTAAGTATTTTTCTTTAATAAATGGTTGATATTTCTATGTTTATTACTTGTTTTACTTATTGTTTTTAATTATTTAAGATTTTAGGAGCTATGAGAGTATCATTTTCTTAAGTATACTACTTAGTGTTCGAGAGAAACTAAAGGAAGATCTATGTAAGCAATGGGTTTTAGTTGATAACTAGAGCCTAATCCACCGTCAGAGATGAGGTTAGGATTTCAATAAGTAAAAGGAGTAATATCGAATCGATAGGTTAGATGTTGCTACATCAAGCCGAGAGGATTTACTATGGCATTCTCATCTGTCAGATCCCATGACTAGAGATAGTGTAGGGATACTCGTAGTAAACTCTGTCGAGCAAGTAAGACATAGAAGTTTAAACCAACCTAAAAGATAAGACTTAAGATTCCTAAGTGATCCCATTA